CTTCTTTAAAATTAAATTTCAAACATACACATTCTGTTTTTTCTCAAATGCAGTAACGTATTCTAAGTCCACTCTTGCGCCCTGTTAGACTTGTCAAAACATTTTAAACCTCGTAACGTTTTGGAAGAAGCGTAAGAATATCCCCTTAGTTTAACTCATATATATCTTTTGTGTTTGCTTAATCCTTTCTTTTATTTCTTTCATCTTTCAGTTGACCAATGGAAGTTTCTAAAATAGTCCATATGAGAATGTTTTCAGTATCATCACACAAACAAATGAAGTCTCTGCCTTTATCCCCTTCGTTTTCCTCCAGGATGGCCACAGTTATATTACTTTTAATGTAATGACTATTTTCTTCATGAGATTTTTCTAAATATAATACCCAAAACTGAGCATAATTAACAAAACTGTTTCAACTCAGGACAACTTTTACTATACGTTTTCAACAAGCGAAGATTATTTTTTATAATCCTGTTGCTTTTCGTGCTAGTAGATATGAACACTGAAAGACAGCTGAACATTCAGTTGAAATGTTCACTTTGGGAGCATACTTACAGATCTGCAGAAAGTGATAGACTGATGATCAGCTCATTGTTCAACACTCTTACATTTCTTTTAAAAGAGTAATACCAATTGTTGCACCTTTAAAAATATGTAGCCTTCAGTAACTCCTCTCCAGAGCTGAATCATCTAATGCCAACCCCAACAAACAATATAATCTAGTCTCAAGATGTGCTAAATTTTTCCACCTAAGGATAGCATTTGCTTAAAAGCAGGACCTGGAAATTAGTTACTCTTTGGTTATCTAAAAAATTTTCTATCCACTTTCTCAATAGCTTTGCTAACCAACTTTGGAAGAGAAAATAGACTATAAGTCATAAAAAGTCCCAGTTGGAATTATTTATCATATTAACTAAAGGGGTTTATTTTTTTCCATTTATTTTTCACTGTATATCCCGCTTCCAAGTTACTGGAATTTAACTTTTAAATTAAGTAGTGGTAACATTCCTTCAGTGATATACAGTCTGTATGCATGCAGCTCAAAGATGGAAACAACTTCAGTTTCTTGATACTGATTTTCCCTTTGATTTTCACACGAGAGCAGGGTAAAGAACACCTCTACGCTGATCCAAGCAGTAGGGAGACCTCAAAGCCATTGTAACTGCTATCTTTAGTTTTCTTAGTGGGAAAGGTACAATATGATACATTTTCAGTACTTAAGGCAATACACCAAGCTAGCATATCTCTTCTGACAGAAGGAAATTGAAACCTATTTTCATGTCATGTCTCCATACACAGCTTGTGCTTACTGTAGGACTCCTTGCTGTAGTAGTGTATCTTTACACTGTTGTGGCGTTCAACTTCTTCCGCAAATTCTACAACAAAAGTGAAGATGAAGATGAACCAGACATGAAGTGTGATGACATGATGACGGTAACTAAAATATCATTAGCATGCTTCAAATCTCATCCTGAATTCTCAAATGGATACTTAAGATAAAATGATAAGCAAGGAGGAATGTTTTTGTTGATAAATCCCTGGGTCTCTTCTTCTTGTTGTATGTCATTTTGAAAATGCGAATGGTCTTGAGATTCCCTCTGCATTCTCCAGTGGTCTAAACTCAACAGTAGATAGATGACACTCACCAGTATGGGAAGATATTCTGGATTTTTCTCCTAAATACTGTGGTATAAGATTTGCTGCAATTTTTACAGGTGAAGATGGCAAATCCTAAAAGTATGACAATAAAGAAATTTCATGACAAACTGGTCAGCCCTGCAAAAAGAAGCTGTGTTGTTGCAGCACAAATAAACCCTATTTGTTCCCAGTGTTTTCAAGTGTGTGAGCTCTTCCTATGCTTACTTAGGTTATACAAAGTACATGGTGTTATTAGCACTAGTTATAAAACTCTACTCCAAACTGCTTACAATTAGAAATTTAGTCAGGAAATAAGAAGTCAAGGGCAAGTAGAGAAGGGGGAAATTAAAACATATTACAGATGATAATCTAATGATTCTAATTTCCCTTCTGATTTCCACCTGTTGCCACATAATGGCATGTATGTCACATTAAAAGATTCTCTACAGATACATGTCATGGTATGAACAGGATTTGACTTTCTCGCTGTATATGGAAAAGAGCACAAACCCAGGTATTAAAAATGTAATATTCTGAGTTTGTGGCCAGCTCATTTCTTCCATGGAATAGGCACTCTCTGCTCTGTGTTAAATGTTAAAGATAAAATACCTCAGAACAGAGGTGTGTCATGGACTTCACAAAATGATCTTCCCTATTCTTGACCTTCCTTTCAAACACTCAGTACAGGTCAGATGTGCAAATGATAGAAATGATGAGAACTGCCCAAGCAGTATTGTTTAACTGGTCCCTCTGCGAGCTGGATACAATGGTCTGGTCATAAAACAGGTGTAGAAGTAATTAGAATAATGAAACTATATTACATTTTAAGTCACTCTACCAAGTTAGGTAAATCAATTCCAAGTTACATTTTTAAGTATGATTAAACTAGTACCAGCCTCTTATGTCAACAGTAAAGTTGCATTGTAAAATGGATGTATAGTTCTGCTGAGTGTTTGCTCATGGAAGACAAGATTTGTCAGGTTTTCTGCTGATTATTTAACACCAGCATTGCTGCCTAACATGACTTCAGAACACAAGCTAGGCTTAGAGATTTCCCTCATTTTTAACCCATGTTTTGTGACCAAAGGTGGTTTACAAGGTTGGGTAGCCGATTCATACAGAAACGTCTGCAGTATATTGCTTCAGCAGAAGATTCCATTCTAATATACTTACATAGCTTAAATATCCAGATTTTTAAATTCTTCCATGAAGACTTATATGTTCAAAAAAAAAAAATTACATCCAGCAACATTTCTGTAAAGTGATTTCTTCTGCACTGACCTGAACACAAGATATGTTTCCCAGATCATAAATAATTTACAATACGCTAAACCCCAGACATCTGGTATTGCAAAATGAAATTTTCCAGAAACCACCTAAACACAAATAGATCTACCTGTTGTGAATATGTCACTATTTATTTTGTGGCAATATTTGCCAACATTTCTAAACTCCATTCCAAGACTTTTTCAAAGATGTCTTCTGCTTACTCATAGCAAGCTAGAACCTTAGGATTTAATATAAGGGGTATAGTTGAATACAGTAACAAATACAAGAAAAATGCCCCTAAATGATCTTAGTCTGTAAGTCTTAGTGAGTGAGGAAAGTGTAACAGCTTATGCTGATCTGCCCTCTTAGTAAGTGTACCTGAAGATGTAATCACATTAGTTAAGACAGTACCAGATTTCTGGTGCAGCGTGTGTGATACAAGAGGAATGATTTTATGTGTTTGTTATCTTTGTTACTATTATCTGTGAAGAGAATTAGCAGAGCAGAATCATATAAACTAAAAGAAAGAAGCCTGGAATTATTTATGGTAAATACATCTGTAATTTTCTTCTCTTTTTTAGTGTTATCTGTTCCACATGTATGTGGGCGTAAGAGCTGGTGGTGGCATTGGAGATGAAATTGAGGATCCTGCTGGAGACCCTTATGAAATGTATCGAATTGTCTTTGACATCACATTCTTCTTCTTTGTCATTGTTATCCTACTGGCTATTATTCAAGGTACTGTCCCTTACCTTAGTAGAAGCTGTTAGAATTTAGTTTACTTAGGTTCTGTGATGTATTTAAACCACTTATGTGTTTGAGGTAAATTTACCAGTATTGCTATAAAGACTTTTCTGAGCTGATAAAATCATTAATTCTGAAAGTAATAATTTTATACTTAATTCAGAAATAATGCATTGTCCCAAGTACCACAGACAGACAAAGCACAAGAAATGTAACTTACCTGGGTTACAGTGTTTATGAGCATTTTGACAACCATCCAGCAGTGACGCAGCTTGTGCAGGATCGCTGTTCTTCCTGTAATAACCATTGAAGCTTGGAGAGCCTTGCTGTAGCCACTTCACAACTTTAGCTTGGAACCACCACAGCTGGCTGGGGAATGAAGTGACACAGAGATAGTCACCATGGCCACTTACCCACTTCCTTCTTTCTTTAGAGGGTGATTTGCAGTTTTAATTGGTTTGTGGTTGTGGTTTACAGAGAAAGGGACCTCTCCGAAGAACCACTCAGTATTCAACACTCAGTGTATAGACTGACCTAAGGCTGTTTGGAAAAAACACTGTTTTATGGCAATCTAGTGGCAAAGAAAAAATGTAATACATCTATACCGAGAAAACGTTACAAATGTCAGTCCCAAAAATGATCCAGCTCTATTCTTAATACGTGGGAAGTGGAGGAGTAATGCTTCAAATGCGAAACAGCGACACAAGCTGGCTGTGAGGATTGGGGGAGCACAGTTGTCTTTGTTGAACAAAACTTGGCACAGGAGAGTAAAAATTAAACTATTTCATGGGAACAAAAGAGGCAAGATGATGGAAGCTTAAATTAACCAAAACAGAACTACAGAAAAGCCCTTCCACTCTCAAGGTTGTATTTCCATGTAAGAGAAATTCTTAGTGGTAGGAGTGCAGTGTAAACACATTAGATGTCTGGAAATTGGTAGATTGTAACTTGTATTGTTTAACCTAGACAGAAGTACACTAAACGCCAAAGACAGTGGAGGATGTCTGACAGATATTGCTTGAACTATGAATATTTCTAAGTGCTGATACTTTTCCATTTGAAATAGGTCTGATTATTGATGCTTTTGGTGAATTAAGAGACCAGCAAGAACAAGTGAGAGAAGATATGGAGGTATAAGTAACACACTACATTTTTCATTACTCTTATTCATCTAGATTTTTACCAGTTAAAGTAGTGTCTTTGAATTAATTTATAACCCCAACTTGTGTTTCCAGACCAAATGTTTTATTTGTGGAATTGGCAATGACTATTTTGACACAACCCCACATGGCTTTGAAACGCATACTTTGCAAGAACACAACTTGGCAAACTATTTGTAAGTATATTTTACTACTGGAATTATGACAGAGACCTTTCAGCTCCAGAGTAATTTAGGCATACACATTGCTGACAATCAGAAGACAGAATTCTGTCAGACTGAGGAATATCTCTATTCCTTTCTGGTCTCCCCTCCTCTACTCCACACTGATGGTTATTTTTAAAGTGCTCACCTTACACATGAGCTACCTCAGCGGAATGAAATCTGAAGGCACACCAACTCCTTATTCCTCTGGAATGAAACCCAGATATGCAAAATTACAGGAAACAAGTTGCTTTAGTTTGGAAGTTTTAATTGTGTCTTCTCAGGGCTTGGTAACGATGAGACCATTGAAAACTAGCCTCAATTTGACAAAAAGAAAACTCAAAGCAAAACATCAAAACAAAACAGACAAAAAAGCACATTTCTAGAAGAGTCCAGAAAGATAAGCTACAAAAAATAATGTACAAGTCAGATCATATGTTTCTTTACTGATAGCGAAGCTTTCTGAATCCTCAAAGCAATCAGGAGTTGTGTGTGTTTAGGCTATTGCCCAGACTCCCAAGACCATGACTCCCAAGACCAATGAAAGTAGTTTCATTAGTAAATACAGAGCAGATCAAAGAGGATATTTAAAAAGTTAATTTGGTGGCATCAGTTACTCTTGCAACAATGATAATTACACGAGCATTGTGCCCACAGAACCAAAGGAGCTGAATTGGTGGTATCTTACAGAAGTCTGGCTTTAGAATACTGCATCTGAACTTTTTACAGGAGTGGAGTGGAGGCTGCGTTATTCCTTGCATAGCAACTGACACTGCAAAATCAATGCACATTACTTTTGTAAGGCAAATTTCCATTAACTTGCATAGTTTTACCAGTCTACAACCTCCAACCTTACTGTATTGAATTGCTTAATTGGTATATGCGAAGTTGTAATTCCGGTAAATTAAAAATGGCCATTTCTTTAATACTAGAATATATAGTGAACAATCTTTCTAACCAGGTTGCCCTTTAATTAGACAAATGTTATAATCAGTGTACATTCCTTTCTTTACAGTGAAAGCACATGCCAAGTTTAATTCCAAATGCACTGTGTGTGAAGTGGCTAACCAAGGGCTGTGTTACATAGAAACAGACTGCTGATAGCACTCTGCAGTCTGTCTAATTAGTTCAAGCTCTCTACATTTGAGCGAGCACAGGAATCTGAGACGGGCTCAGCTTAGGAGCTGTATGGCAGGAGCAGTTGCCACACTTCTAACTTCTTGCACAGTAGCCATAGTAACTTGTTCCAAGGTGAGATGTTGGAGCATATGTGTATAGGAGTTGGCATATGCCTAACTCAGGTATTGCTCCTAGCACTGAAATGAAGAAAATGCTAAACTATGTTTTTCTACTTCTGCAGATTTTACATCTGTTACCGCTTCACAGGAGATGTTCTGGAGGATAGAATTTTCTCCTTTAACATAAGTACTTTAGACACCTAGCAATATCATTACTTTGCTGCTGGCATAATCTCCTTCACAGACCCTAATCTAGGAAAGGTTAGGCAGAGATGTTATGTTTTCTGCATTAATACCTGCTTCATGTGCTTGTTTCAGGTTCTTTTTAATGTATCTCATTAACAAGGATGAAACTGAGCATACCGGCCAGGTGAGTAGAAAATAAAACTTAAACATTTTTTCTTACCTTTCAACATTTTCATCTTCTCCAGCCTTGTAGCTGTGTACCACCAGGTGGAACTGATGTACCACCAAGGAGTGGAGATGATGCCACCCTCCCTGAGGATCTTCTGGGAGCGAAAGAAAAGGGAGGGGTGGGCTGCAGCACTGTGCTATCCTACCCAGCACTGAACAATGTCAGAAGTCAGTTACCAGTAATCTTACTGTCAACTTGTCTCTGAAATAAAACCCTGAAATATACCAGTCGTTGATCCCCAAAAGATTAAGTAGTTGGATTATTCCATCTAAATCCATATATATGTGTACATAGATAGGGACATGGATGTGTGTATGTATGTTTAGTGTTGCTAGGCCCTAAATGTAAATAAATAGGATTTAATTACATCTTATCTCAAAGAAGCAGCTGTTATGGAAACACTACAAAAGTACCTTCCACTTCAATGTTTTCCAAGCAAACTAAACGTTTTATGTATACAGGTTGTGTACAGGTTTGCTCTGCTATAACTAGACTGATTAATTGACACACATTTTTTCTAATAGGGCTTAAATTTCAGTAGTAGAAAACTGCAGAACAATATTATGTCTTTACATTTCTACTCCATGGTAATAAGCACAGTAGCTAGTTATTGTTAAAGATTTACCTAGAGCACTGACTGCAATGTATCTGTTAAAATAAATACTCTTTATCATTTTCAGGAGTCATTTGTGTGGAAGATGTACCAAGAAAGATGTTGGGATTTTTTCCCAGCAGGGGACTGCTTCCGGAAACAGTATGAGGATCAACTTAGCTAATATCATCACAAAAGAAATTATTTATTCATGAACTGTCAAGATCCAGTATACAAAAAAAAAGTAATTATTTTATTTTCATGGTGTAATTTCACAGCTTGTATTTGCTTCAAATGTCTTTAAACTTCAAGACATACATAAAATTCGATACTATTTCACAGCCTTTTTGTACCACATATCAAACAAGTCTTTTGTTGGAACTTTAATCGGAAAAGAGGAAACTATGCCAGATTAACTTAAGCCTTCCAGTTCAAACATGGCCTGAAATTATAACAACTTTTTGACCACATTGTTAACCTAGTGCTTGGCAGTACAGTTGAAAGGGCTAAAAGGTGTCTTAATTGCACAACATTCGACATTTAAGAACTTGAACATCAGAGGCCATGCCTCAAAAAAAAATTTTAACTAACTGCTGTCCAGTTTTTCGCCCCCGTATTTGCTAGTGAATGTATTAAGATACAGCTTGAAAAGCTTTAAGCAGTTAAAAAGAAAACATTTTCAAACACTTCGTCAACCTTGAAACATTAAGTGCCTTAAAACCTCTGTAGACATAGCTATGCAAACTTTTTATTTGTGTTAGTGTCCTAGATGAACAGATCCATTAACTGTATTGCTTTTCTGTCCTTCAGTATGAAATTGCACTTGAAGTTTGTTTATATACTACCTTCAATAACAGCTTATTATATGCTGCTGTTAAAAGACATACACTGTATCAAAATGAATACAATTTAAATCTTAGGCCAAAATAAAACAATGTTCTATGGTCACCTGCAAGTAGAAGCTGCTAGGATTATGCATATTTTTTTTTCCTCTAATAAAAAGTGCCCACTGCAATAAAGTATTATAAACCAAATATTACCTTTGCTGTCGTCTTTCTCATTCTTCTAAAATATGGAGATGGGGTGTGAGGATGGTGACTAAAACCACATGTATTCAGTGTTCATTCATAGCTTTATTTTACGAACTGCATAGAGCAAGTACAATAACTTCTCTTAGTCTGCTGTAGCCTGCCTCTTTAGCAAAGAAAATCCTAATTTCATCATCAATTTTAGACCTTTCAAAGAACATTAGTCTTAGACAATTTTCAATCACATCTAAATGAATTCTGGTTGCACAGAATTTTAGGTGCCAGTAAAGAAAACCAGGCATTTGGTGTACTGAATGAAGTGAAACAGATAAAGCAAATACTGGGGAGATAAAGGAAGATTCAACATTGTACTTAATGTTTGCTATAGTCAGTTATTCACATAAGAAAATTTAAGCTTCAGGAAATCATGTTGTCCAGCCACTCTTCAAGCTCTTCTGCAGTAAGATCTTTAGATGTACTTCGCTGTTGCTGTGATGCTGTACTCTTCTCTTCAGGTGTATCTAGTTTTAAAGAGTCTAGAAAAGTGAAGAGACCTGAAAAATCTGGAAACAATTTTGTACCAGATCTTTGTCCAGGATCATTTTGCTCTTTAATGCACAACTGACTCTATTTAAATACAGTCTCTCTTTTTTGAAGAAAAGCAAGTCCTAGTCTGAAAATAGCAGCAACAATTAAAAAAAAAAAAAAAAAAAAAAGGAGGCAGCTTAATAAACTCAACCAGAGCCATGTGGCTTCCATCCCATTCAAGATGTGCAGGGCCTGGTTTGCCGCAGACAGATTATGAACCATCCCCCTGCTGTGATCTGTTTGCAGAGTTTACTTTAATGTAGCAGAGGAACAGGAGGCCACAACAGCAGATCACTCTGTGTGACGATTACAGCATGATGTGATTCCATATTCTGATGGCACTGTGTTCTTAAGGGATTTACGCTGTGCCTTGGAGTGGAACACATGACATACCACTGAAATGAAAGAGCACTTCAAAATTGTCTTCAGTAACATGGCTTGCTGTATTGCTTGTGGTGACATCTTTCTTACATGTCCAACCATCTTGGACTTAATTTTTACGACAGCAAGAAAATAATTCAGAAAAAAATCAGATATGCTAAAAATTCTCTTACAGCATTGTGGACTGGGGAGGAGCAGCAAACCATCAAACCATGACAAACAGTAGTATAGCTTCTAGGAATGTAATCAAAAGAAAAGGTTTGCTGATTTTCCTGAAATGAACATTTTTGTGTAGATTGTGTTTCCGTACTAAACTTAATTTTGTAAAATCAATGCTAATAAAGTTTGAAAATAGCATTTATAAGAAACCATTGGAAATAGCTGTCAATTCTGTATACTGTTAGCACAGTGAACTAAGGGCTGATAATGTTACACAAAGCTTTATTCTTCCTCTCATTAAAATCCTCCTTTTTTTTTTTTTTTTTAACTTAAAATTTTGCTGAATCATAAGATTAATGCTGTTCTGCAGAATTTCTCTTAATGTTTAAAATGAACTGATAATGGTAAAAGTTTAGTTTAGTGGGGAGTTAAAATTGAAAAGGAACAAATGGGTCAGAACATAGCCCCAGATAAATGAAATGCAGTGACACAGATGATGACAGCAGTACTATTGACTGGCTAATCAAGAGTTCAAAAACATCACCAGAACAGAGAGCAATGGAAATTAAATAAGGGCATGCTGGGTAGAAGAGAAATCTTACCTTTTTCCTTAATATCCATTTTCAAATCTTTCTCAGTTGATATGTTGGAGGATAATGCACCTGACACAGGTCTGTTTTGCATACCAACGGGAGCATCCAGATTTAGGAGAACATCTAGTTCTTCATCCAAATGGTCAATCTCTTGCTTTGGTAGTGGATGGGCTGTTTGAAATGGTTCTGCTGCACATGCCCTAGGAACCTTTTTACCTTCAGGCACTGATGGAGCAACAGAATCACCAACAGGATGGGAGACCAGCACCATTTCCCTCTGAGCCAAAGACTGTTGGAACAGCTCTCTCCTCTTGCTGTCTTCAAAAATTTTATATTTCATCTGTGGGAGCTCTGCAGGTGATGTTGCCTAAGAGTACAAGAAAGGACTTGAGTCTTTCTAATGATTAACTCCATTCTTACTATTTGTCTAAATTGGATTGTAATCCACGCTTCCTATATTTGATCATTTAAGGTGGTACAATGAATTTCAGCAGAATTGAAGTCAGAAGTAAAAGTAAACTAAAGTTATCTTGATGATACTTTTACAGAAGCAGCTACAAAATCTAAACTCCTTTTATCCCGTATTAAGGAGTATGAGATTGTATGCTAAATCAGCAAGTTCTATTGTTTCACAAATACTTCCTGGAGAGTTACTTTTCTTTAATTCTTATGTAATGAAATCCCATCAATACTCTGAGTTTTGGAATGACTGAAGTCAGAATTTGACTAGAAACATTCTCCCATATTAGGCCTTCCCTCCAAAATTCCAGTCTTGAAAGCAAATCATACTACAGGTCGCTGAAAATCATTCAGCAAAAGTTATAATATATAGCTGTACATTCTGAAAAATGAAATCAAATTACAATACATTATCAAATAGTGAAACAAGAAATGGCAACTCATTATTTAACCGTGGAACACAGATTCTGCTTTTATCGGATGCTGTGGCATTAATAACACTGCAGCTTATCTGATGACCACAGCGCCCGTCAGAATGACAAGACAAAGATTAAATACCATAAAACACACTTTATAACCCTGATAAAAGTTAAAGACCATAACTAGAACTCTTAAGAATAAAACTGTATTTGAAAGTAACGTTTATTTGCAGATTCCTGTAGACATAACATCTGCAGACATATTTGTGTTCCCTTAAGAAAGAGCATGGTTGTGTCAGTCACAGAAACACTTCATGCAACTCCAAACAGAAGTAAAGTTTCTTCTGTAAATGCCATGTTCCTTTTTTCTTGTTTGAGTAGATGGAGGGGTTTTCTTTTAATAATTTTGGTTTTATATTTAAGTCTCATTGGTTTTTTTGCCCTTACATAAATATTTTCTCTTTCAGAGCCTGAAGAAACATTTTTTCCTAATATTCTGTTGCTTTTTTTTTTTTTTCACTAGAGCATAAATGACATTTTCTTCACTGGTCTGATTGACAGTTCTACCTGTTGTAACACAGATGTACATATGATTCATGGAATAAACATGTATGTTATTAGTTATATAAACGAGTAAATCACAATTAAAATAACAGGAAAGAATGTGAAAGTACTTTCAGAATTTTGGTGCAAGCTCTTAATGGCTTGCACAAGAGAAGCAAATAAAAAAAAAAAATGCAAGCATTCCATGTCAAACACTCTGATACCTGGCTTCATATCTAATGTGCTGCACATCAAAGCATTTTGTCTTAAGCCAACAAAGCATTAAAAGTGCTGATAGAGGGGCATCCTGCATTACATGCCATTTGACACGCCAGTCTCAAGAAATGCATTTATTTATAAAATACATTCTAATTATGTTTGAAGGCCAAGTTTAAAGCAACCATTCTTGCATAGATTGTTTCACTTAAAATATTTGCATTTTCCTGTGAAAATTCACACCATTACCTGCACAAGTTCAGCATCTACATTCAACCTCAGATGCAGGGGCAATTCCTGAAGCGCCTGGGCCACAGACTGGTAGTCAACAGGAATTGCAGATAACTGAAATACAATTCAACACACAGTATGCTTGTATTAAAGAAAAAAAGAACTAAGAATTACTTTAAACTATTACATTCCCCTGCTCCACACATTCAAGGAATGTGAGGAACAAACTGATGAAATACAGGAATTCATGGTTTTAAGTTAACCATGTACAATGCAGTTTGGCTAAATTCACACATAAACACCTACAATGCAAATAGTCACTTAAAGGTTTAAAAACAAGGCATAAATGGAATGTTCCTTAGGCAATGTCTCAAAAATCCCAAGCTGGAAATAGTTCTGCAAGTTGACAATGTCATAAGAGGCTTTTTAATCTCTGAAGTTTTCTATGCAGTGGGAATTGCCATTCTTTAACAAGTTGCTACTATTTTCTAAGCAATCAAACCATGTAGCTTGTATGTAGCTCTACTGCTTTTACTGCCTAAACAACATGTCCCTTTTAATACTTCCCCATCTTTTAGAATGTTGCTTCAATGCTTACAAAAGGAACAAACTATAGTTACATACACTTCTAAAATTATATTCATGAACAATACTGTTGACTAGTTGCTTAAAAGGTGAAACTGTCACTAATTAGGTGTTGACATTTCCTTTTCTCTTGGCCTCTGGTTTTTGGTTTGTTTTTTGTTTATTTGTTTTGTTTTGTTTTTGGGGTTTTTTTGTTTGTTTGGTTGGTTGGTTGGTTTTTTGTTTGGTTGGTTTTTTTGTTGTTGCTGTAAACTGTTAAAAACAAATTTATGCAAAATAGACCAGCAATATTTGATGTTTTTACAGAACGCTCTGGAGTTGGTAGACTTAAACAGATTTTGAGCTAACAGTACAGCAGAACATTCTGAGCAGATTCACTATTGATGAAAAAGATAATTTGATATCCATCACATATTTCAAAATCTGACTACAAAATGCTTAAGTTCAGTCTATCCTCTCATTTTCAGGGAAGCAGAGAAGCTGCTTCTAAATCTAGCTTAGAGACAAAAATTTGTCCCACTCAATACGATATAGACTGACACAGACATTTGGAAGTTCAAATACTCATAAATTAGGAGAGAGTGTTTTGTGACATATCAGAAGAGATTTGTCAAAGGAATTCACACTGCTCCCAAAAGCCAGTCAACAGGACAGCTTTTGACACCCACACACAGAGCAAGGATGAACATCAAAAACAGTGTGTTCCAATAGCATATTTACAAAATTAAAATAAATTTTAAAAAGAAACAATGCAGTTTGCTTAACAGTTTCTTTTGTCCAAATTCTGATTCTGGTATCTAGCAACAAGACTAAAAGGACCAAATAACTTAAATATCAGATGGCTGGAATTTTTCTTCTTTCTTAACAACTTTATTTTACAAAGGATTAGTGATCACCATCACCAAAGATGATTCACTGGTACAAGTAACCTCAAAAAGTCTTCAACAAGCAATTCTTGCTGCCCAGCAATGAACTAAAACTTCAGAAAACCCAGTTCTTTTGACAGCTATTGAAGATCAAATATAGCTTCTGCACTTTTGCAAAGGACAAGGAAATCACATGAATATGGTAACATACAAAACTGTAAAAAGTCAAGTATCATTGAATAAAATTTAAGTGCATTTGGGAAGAGCTAAGTACACTTACCAAAAGACTAACATGAATGAACATTGTGAATGAGGGTGACAATGGACAGGGAAGAGGAGGCAAGTCTGAAGGTGAAGGAAAAGAGGAATTTGGAGAAATAACATAATGGAAGAAGGAATTCAATATCCAAGTAGCGATTTCATTAAAAGTGGTGTTTGAATAAAAAAATAAAAAAACAAACAACATAGGGATCAAAGCAGTATTTAATAAACACTACGTGGCACATGTAGTTATTTATTCAAGAAAATAAGTAGAGGCATACTTTGTTGCTGGAATTGCTATTTTTTACTGGAAAATCCAAATTACTGTCACCTGTTCAATTTTTATATTGCAGACCATGTCTGCATTTTTATTGCATTTTATCAATATACAATAAAGTAAATCCAGATCTACTTTTTTTTTAACAATGAATGATAATATTCTCAATAAACTGAAAATTCGCTATTGTTAATGTCACTGTTACATTTCCATTCCACATTTGAAACTGATGCTTTGCCATTGCTGTCTACAAATAATAGGGAATGGGAAATATCTAGTCATTCTGCAACTGCTTTTATGTCTTTTCTGCTTTATTTTGTTCCATCATAATTACTTCAGTTTACAATTCTCTGCTCTTGGACGTAATGTACAGACAGACAAAGAACTAGAAACAGGCGAGCTAAGAGGCAAAGGCAAGGAATTTGCCAGGGTGGATCTAGGATGAAAATTAGACCTGGATCCAGCTTTCAGGGAAAAGAAAGATGGACCAGAAATAAAAAGGCGATAATGGACTGAAGACCAGAGACAATGTGAAAAATTAGACAATGCTATGAAACCATCTGGGCCAGGACTCTGAACTAAAATAAGAAATCAAAGGAAGGGTAACGGTGACTAGTGCAGTAAATTATTTCAAACTGACATCAGAACAGTGAAAGACAGGAAAGAGTTTGAAACAATGAATGTGGCTGGTGCAGGACAAATGACTACAGTTTGGTAGGGACAGGGGCAGATGAACGTGCCCACCACAGCACGCTTCACGAGGAGTAAGAGCGTGGGACCGGCTCCAGATCTGTGCAGTCTCGTCACTGGCAGCCATAAGAATATTGGTGAAATCCACTGGCAACGTGCAACTTCACCCTGCTAACAATGGCTTTAGCCACTCAGAAACTAATTAATGTGTTCAAGTCACCTCAATGCTGTAATGATAAGCCTATGAGGAAATTATGAAGAAATTAATATTCTGGATACAGACATGCTGCACACTAGGAGCAGGAAGAACTGATAAAAAAAAATATAGTCATTGAAAGACTGTATCCCACTAAACAAACATATGATGGTTTAAACAAATGCTGCACTTGGTTTTATTTCCTCATTCTAATTTGATTTTGCAACTTTAATGTACCTTTAAATATCACTTCCCAGGGAATAATTATTGTTAACATTTTAAGAAATAAACAGCAAAATTTAAAATATGAATACATATGTACGTTTCAAGAAACACCCAAGCACAGTTTAGCACCAATTTTAGGAAAAGCTTGGAAGACAAAAGCATTTATCTTGCAATAATTTAGGTGACTTATATGAAGAAGATAGCTGCAGAGATTAAGATACTTTCCAGTATCCTGATATAGAAAACAGCAGACTCCTATTGCTCTGACCCTTTTTATTCCAGCAAGAAAAGAAACTAGAACAAGCTTCAGAGTCAAATATATGAATATACTCATGTAGGTTTTGTTGTAGTCATTTTACTGTACTATTTTCTCTTGAATACAGCTGAAAAAGGAAGGCTGACTTTATGTGTCAGGATAGCAAAGTGACAGTCCCTTATTTTCCATTCACTGGATGGATTTGCTTGTTCTTTTCTTCCATGTTACTTAAAAACCTAGCCTCCTACTTTGATTAGTCTCCAAGAGAAAAAAAAAAAAAAGACAAGACTCAAGAGACTCCAGCATCAGACACAAATTAATAAAAATATACAGAATAAAGAGTGCTATTATTGTATTAAACGTTTTGTTGCTGAAAGCACGACTGCCTAGGTATTTTGTGCCAGGCGATTATCCATACGAACTCATTTGAATGATAATTCTGTTACCTGCTTATGCCATATGTTTTCTCTATGCCATTCTTTCTCATCAGCAAATCGGAACTGTGTAAAGGAATCTCCTACAGGAAAGAAATAAAAAATATATTAATTTAAAAAACTCCAAACAAACAAAAAACAAAAACCAAAGCAAACTCTCTCCAAAGTTCCCACCCCTACAGATGTAAAAATCAATCAATAAACATCATGTTTTCAACAAATTTGCATTTAATTTTATTGCCATTTGCATTCACAACATTAAACTTCTTTAAAACAAAGTTCTGTAGAAAGATCTTTTAATCTCTTATTTGCAAAACAGTACTGAAAAAAGGTGCAACAAATTCAAAAACTGAATGAAGAGGTCTTAAGTGCTATGTCAACAAGCAAGATTTTCATTGAGAAGTCCAATGTGGACAACATACTAGGTATACTTACAGTATTCACAGAGTGCATCTTTAATGAACAGCTTTGAAAGTGCTAGAGCTAGACCTTATCAACATTTAAATCTCTCAAAATGAGTTATAAATGTCCTAAAATCAGTTTGTACAGGCCAAGTAAAGATTCCTTGGTGTCTGGTAGCTAAATGCTCCAGACTCTCTCTTCCTTGATCTACTTCAGCATGTCATCAAAAAAAGAGACTGAACCCTCAACTCCAATTCATGTGCATAAGGGACTGAATGAAAAGAAACCTTAAATAGGGCTAATCAAGATACACATGTAAACTTAGTTAAAGGGTCTTCTAACCTCCTACCACATTCCTCCATGACAGCAGGAAGTTCCTCTTACTATAGGGGGGCTTGGGTTATTAGTCTGCTTTAGATATGATATTTCTATTGCAGTACCATGCTACGTTGTAAAAGACAGTACTATAAATCTACTCACTGAAAAACATGCAAGAATTCCAGGAAATCAAAAAAATTAGTAAGGAAACACAAAATATTAGGGTTGCAAGATGATGGCCGAAGGTCTACAGTAGCAGAAAGAAAAGGTGTTGCTGATGCAGGACATGTGCTGCCTTAGACTATGCAGTTTGAGAACAAATAGCTTTTTCAGGAGCTCTACTTGAAGAAAAATAACCCCGCTGAATGATCGTGTGTAGGAGATGAAATTTGATCCCAAGAATTGCAGACCACCTATAAGTCACTAGGATTTAGTCCAGCAGTTGGTTGAGAAGCAACAGTTCATTCTTTCCAAACCTCTAATAGAGAGCGAACGCACTAGAAGTTTTCAATGACATTACCAACTGAGCATCTAACTTCCATTCGGCTCTGTATATTCTGCCATTCATAACTTTGACAATTCCTGAATCATGCCCTTAATCCGGCATACAAAATCTGAACATATAATGTGCTGTCCCCAAACTGGCTTCTTTTCCATTGTCTGCCTGTCCCAAAATGTACGTGAGTTCAGCCTTTCAGCAATTTTACTCAATAGTGCAACCATCAGCCAGCTTCTGTTTTGCAAACAGAATGAATAAGCAGCAAAATGGCATAGTAATTGGCATATTTATTTGCCAAACAATAAAAAAAAAAAAAAAAAAAAAAAAAAAGGGAGATCTAGCCATTTCCCAGCTGGAATGTAAAATTATTGGTCATGGCTTTTTTTTTTTTTTTAATATCTTAAGTGCATTTCTAATTCATTGCATTTCATGTATGCTCATTGACTATGCAATGTACTCATGTACCAATCACACTGTGTAGCTGGCATGTCCATCATCATCATCATCTTCAGAGTCATTACAACAAGAAAGTGACCTTCTCAGCTGAGTATTTACATAGATATTTATGACCATTACTATGCCCAGCTTGAATTTTCATCTCCCTGTTTTCATTAGGTTTATCCAACATTACTGGGCTGATATATAGCCTTGCTGATCAGCTAGGATTTGGTTTACACTCAATACCTCCACATATTACTATTTTGAAAACAACCAATGTCAAACAGTACAAGTGCAAATAATTTAAATTAAGCACTGAAATTAACATTTAGATATCTAAGAAGCAGATAATAATTTTATACAAGTTTAGTTCATATAATTCACAAACACCACGTTCCATGACAGCCAGGTATGCTCAGCAGTATAGAAATATAAGATCCTATCTTTATGTATCTACCTGCAGATGCAAATACTTAACTTGAGCACTCACAGTTGACTCACTACTGACAAAGGTGCCCTCCACTTCATTGCACACAGCACAATAGTAAATGAATCCATCTGTTTCAAAACATCTAGAATACCATGAATAATAACTAATGCTGAAAATTAAAGAAATCCAAATTCATTCTTCAATCTCAGGATTTTAAAATGGGTACAAAAATGTGCAAATTAATTTATGTCTTAACAACTTATATTTTAAAGGCTCAATTTAGTTACATGTGTAAAGAAGTTTTATCGAAAAATAGTTAAACTAAGTGATCCTCAAAGTCTTTATTCTATTAGAACAAAGGCATAAATATTTTCTTCCAGTATCCCCAAGACTCCTTCAGTTATTTCTCACTCTGTGTCACAGATGAAACAAAGAGTTTCCCCTGCTCTTATAAAGGAGTAAAATTAAACTAAAGGATTAGTCAAATGCTTTCAGTATCTGAGAATGACCAGATGCAAAACAGCTAAACAAATCTACTTCATCAGGAAAATCCACTGGTCTCAAGAACTGGTTTATGATTCTCCACACTCACAAAGTTGGTAATAACAGATCCTCAGTTTGATATTGTATGGCTGAATTAAAGGGTATGACTTAAAACTGTAGTTTAACTAGGCTCTTTAAATAAGTTAACAAAGCATGCCTTTCAAATGGAAAAGCAATAACTACAATTCACAGTAGCACATTTAATGCAAATTAGGTTAATGAGAATGTTGGTCTAACCAATTATCTTTTCACAAATTCCTTTACCCTGAAAATGACTTCCTTTTATGCCATGAATACTAATCAAACCTCTTGCAATAACTGAGTTCCTTCCAAAGTAAATGTGAATAGTTCATGTGAATAGTTTTTACGTTACTTACAAATATCACTTGGCCTTCAAATACAGAGTAGCTAAAAATGATGCATTCCAGTAAACTTCACACACTGTCTTTGGTAACATTCATAATAAGCCTTAATATTCTTTATTGTATAAGATTTAACTTTATTACAAAAGAACAACAGATCTAAACCACCATGCTTTCCTACAATGTGAATACATTTTAAAGCTAAATCAATTGATTTAAATAGAACACATTTTTCATAGTCTTATTAGCCCAATTATCTCTTCATTGAATATCAGAATCAAACAAATACTACCTGTAATCTGTAATAAATATTTTCCAATCTATGAAATGAGTCTAAAAGTTGAAAAAAAAAAAAAAAAAAAGAAAAATCAAAGAAAACCACTTTTCAGTAGGAAACCTGATGTATCAGTGGAAAGATTTTTTTTATTTTGACTCTCTAATTCATTAAAAACAAAAGACATAAAACATTACTGAAGACAGAGGAAAAACATTCTATAGTCTTTGAGATTTTCAAATTGGAGGGGAGTAACGATCAAACAATGTAACAGGATCCATCTAAGACTATTGTGACTCCAAAAAAGCCCTGCAAGGGCAAATATAAGACTCCAAACCCATTTTTTACATCAGAATTTACCTTCTCCTAAACACCAATGATTTTGATAAACTTATCTGGGGTTTTCCAATCTTTGTTCATCTCATTTATTTTATTTTGAGAATTTAAGCCTCTGCCTACAAGTCTGTTTAGTCAGCTAAATAACATACAATAAATTTATGATGGCAGTATGCAGTTGAACTAAATAAACCATAACAAAAAAGTACAACCTAGCTATATTTGGGAAAGTAACAATGAGATCTAAAGTATCTGAAAAAGCACCCTCTATCTAAACACTAGACAAAGGTCTTCCTGAGTTACTCAATTGAGAAGATTCTCTCCAAAGAAAGTCAATCTTTAGAATAAGTTTTAAGCAATTTTTGCAAGTTTAACTTTCAAGACATCCCCAATTCATCACTATTTATGAAGGATACAATATCAAAACAAGCTGCCTGCCTGTTCCACCAGCCTTATTCATGAGTATGCAGAAGAAAAATATTATTTTTAAGGTGAAAAAAAGAACCAGATCCTCCAATCTAACACTTTTCAGCAAGGAAAAACAATCTGAATTGCAGAGTTCAGGCATGAATGACACTTGAAATCTTATCCAATGTCAGTGGTTCATGTAAGACTGACCAACTCTTTAGGAGTCAGGGGGAAGATAAGCAACATGTTCTTTCCCTTTTAATAGTGTAAGACTTCACGTCAAAGGTCCAAGAGAAGACAGAAATCTATAGATGATAAAAAAGGTGGGCAACTACTAAGTCATGAATTTTGAGCTAACTTACCAGCACAAAGAGAAAACTAAAGCTTACCAGTCTTTTGGGATGAATTAGGTGTGAGTGAATCTCTCTCAAACTGGAGGAAAAAGCATGAGGAAGAACTCCCAACCACCCATGCCATGGCTTGCTCTAACTAGATGATTTTGAAAACAGCATGGAAACAGCAAGAACCACAGACTGGGTGCTTTGCAACATCATTGGAATCAAAAGATGCCTTTTCTCCTTACACAGTGTTTCCACATAGTGTGATTTTTTCATATATATAAAATAGATATATATAGATAATTATCTATATTATATATATATTAATTTTCTATCTACAATTAATGCTCATCTTATATAAAAATCTCTTTGGATAAATAACACTGAAGACCTCCTTTTATAGGACACCTAACAGTTTTCCTTTTTTTCTCCTACAAAAGGAGATTTACATATGCACAAATTCATAATAAATATTCTTTCAACACTACAAAATGCATGTTCTGCAAAGGTTTTATATGAATAATTTTATACACATCAAACAGATAATCATCCAGATACGATAACGTTCCCACAATGAGGCAGCATGTAATACTGAGAAACAGACATCTGGAAAACACAAAGCTTCCAAATACTCTTCATGACAGTTCTAATAACATCACTAATTTCTATTTCTGCTTTTTAAATTTCTCTGCTTCAGTAGAGTACACACTGTAACTATTATCTTTTACTATGACT